CTCGCACTCTTTTCTCAATGCCCTTTTCTCTCAACCATTCCTCATCAACTAAACTGACCTGGGCGCCTGTGTCCCACAACACATCTTGATGTTTACCCTCTATCACCAAATCTACTACACACTTCTCCCCGACTAGCTTAACTAGTCTTTGTTTAGATTTTGGTGTGATAAATACATGTCCCTTTAGGTCACTAATGTCTCTGGTAGCTATTGGGTATTGTCATTGTCCTGCTGGGTCACCATAATTTCCCCTTTCACAACGGTGACCCGTCCTAGTTTTCCGACTGACGGTTATTACAGTCTCTCCTATAATGATCTCCGCTGCCACATTTATAGCAGTGATGACATCTAGGTCCCTGCCCTGTGTTCTGACACGCTTTACAACCACGTTTTGGTTGTTGACGGGGTTGGTTGTCAATGTAAGTCGGGCTGTTTCTCGGTCCATTGTTGTGATTTCCACTGGCATTAGTGATGTTACCTTGTAAAGTCTTTAACTGTTTCACCTCTACACGCAACGCCTGCAATTCCTTTAAAACATTATCAGACACCCCGGCACTAGAGCTGACAACCTTGACATCCACTCTACCAATCTTGCCCTGCCTCTCTGCATTGCGCTTTGTAATGTCGTTGATCGCTTTCAACAGCGTCTCATTCTCCATGGACGTTACGAGTACCTGATGTATCTCTAGTTTTATGTCGTCGTCCCTAACCCCTGTTGACACTGCCTGTCTGAATTGGTTACCGACGAGCGTAGCGTCGTAGTGATTACCACCATCCTCCCTTGAGGCAAACATGATTTTTTTGTCTCAACTCGAGCGCCCTGAACACAAAGTCTTGTACCGTTTCCTTTGGAGCCTGAACCAGAGTACACAAGTCTTGATACAGTTCTGTTGCTGTTTTCTCCTTATAAAAGGTGCGGATAATTGTCTGTAACGTGGGTAGTGTGAGGTTATGTCTACCCTCCAAATAGCCTCGAACCCTGGCTGTGGGGTTGATCGCCTGTATTACACTACTGATGATTTCTGTCTCTGTGTGTCCTTTTTCTTCAGCCACTGTTATTTGGCGAAGAAATGACATGTAGCCAATACTTCCCTCACTGCCCCCGATTTGCCCATGGATTTTTAAGTCCTTCCTCCAAGACCCTTTCGTAGTCTTGGAAGTCAGTGTTGGCACTGAATTCTCTGTTGCGTCAATCTCCGACTCGCATAAGCAGCCATATGTAAAGTCCAAAAGCATGATGCCCTCGTTTTTTTCCTTGACGCTTTCCTCTAGTCTCCCCTCAATCGCGGCTAATGCGGCCTCTTGGGTCAAAATCTCCATATCAATACCGTCGCCTTCCTTCTTGAGCTCCATCCCCTCAAAAAGGACTTTTACCACGGCCAGGTCCGCCTGGTAAAGTTTTATACGAATTGCCGTTATGAGTTTTTGTCGACGCGTTACCGGATCCATGAATGTCTTCTCTCTACGTCATCAGTGTCCACCAAACTAATCCCGGACGAGCCCCCAAATGTTACGGGGATTTATTTGTCAGTTGAAGACGAGACGACGTGACCTAAAATGTGGAGACGAGAGATTAGCTTCATTTCAGTCTTTTAATGGAACATCGCGGGCACTCTAAATCATTTCGGCGCTTGAATATTAGAGTTATTACCCCTTTGATCGATAAACTCTCAAATACCGTCACCTGCGGGAGTTGCTTCCCCGCTGCCGATGGGATTCCAGCAAGCTTACCGTAGTCTGCCGTAATTGCAAAAAAATATGCCCCCTTCCATTTTAAAGAAAATGTGCTCGTAACACAACCATGTGTTAAACATAGTTGATTAATTGTATACATGATAACGGAGGCTGAATATTGTGAAAACAATTTCACTCCTTGTCATTAATCGTACAATTATTAAATAAATGTACTATACAAGATAACACAGTCATGTTACGATCAGCTGTCAGACCTGGCAGTGACAATACACAAAAATTTACCAAGATCATTTAATTGTTTTACATTCCTTAAAGACAGAATGTGTACCATCTTAAAGATAAGTCAATATAATACATGCACTCGCATGGTCTATCATCCAATAATTTAAATATTAGCCAATCAAAAGTGTCGTTACATCGCAGACGTTGTAGAATATTTCATGTTTTATTTGCACATATATATAAGCTTAGCTAGTCGGAAATATTCTGACGTTTATCGACTTTTTTTTTTATATCGGTCTATCGTCGATTAACGTATGATCGATATAAAAAAAAAGTCGATAAAACGTCAGAATAACTCCGACTAAAGCTAAGCCTAACTCAAGTATTATTAATGTACGTAAATCACATTATAAACGAATTCCTATATCTTGTAAGTAATTTCGCAGATAAAAAAAAACTATTTTAGATGTACTTCCATTCAATAATATACGAATTCCGCTATTATCCTTTTTTTAAATTTACCAAAACCCGCTCAGGTGAATTCCGGCCGGCCGTTATATTCTGGTCAGTTCAGATCATATTCAGGGCCCGTAATATTCATGAAACCATTCTCATGCTCAAGCATGGATTTTGTGCGAATGCCTAATTTCTTGTTCCAGTTATAAATTACTTAAACATGTATATTTTGTTTAAGTTTTGGACAAAAATTTAAGAGACTTCAAGCCGAATAATATTTTCAATAATTAAATCTGACTTTTTGATCGTTGACCTGATTTATGTGAGATACAAGAAAGATGGTTTGAGAACGTATACGTATACGTGATCATGAATGGGGCCCTGCTAATGAGGCAAGGGAGGTAACGCTAGTAAAAAAAATGCAGCATGTTAATGCTTGTAGACTACACACTCATGAGCGTGTGACCGTGTTAATCTCAGCAGACACTGATGCGCGTAGAGTTGAAAGACATTCCATGGTAAGTTAGAATATGAAGGCTGGATTGACGCAAAACCTTTGCCGTTTGTAAGTTGACAAAATCACAGTGACTCACGCAGTCACGGTTCGTTACAAATGTCTAATACACATGTATGCTAACTGATATGGGTCACAAGCTCGCGATCACAGCACACTATGTGTACACTAGGTATGCTGTGACCCATATCCGTATAGCATATGTGTGTGTACCACAGGTACTAGCCTCGTCTGTCTACACCCATAAGATTATATTAATAATTAGATTGTATATGGGTGTGTATTGACAGACGAGGCTACTGTAGTAGATGTGATGTGTAGCACAGGGACCTGAGAATTGTTACAGCTATATTTGGACCTAAACTAAGATGTTAAGAGTAATACTTTCGGTAAAATACTAAAAGGGACACCCCAATGTTTTTTCTTAATGTTGATATATACCTTATATGTAAAACATTACGAATCCCAGTGATATCAGTGGCGGATCCAGAGAGGTTTTTTGGGCTTCAGGAACCCCCACCCCCACCCAACCCTGAGAATTTTCACCATTTTCCTCAATTTTTACCCACATGGAAACCCCCCCAGGAAATTTAGAAATTCCCCCCTAGATAGGTTTCTGGATCCGCCACTGGATATAAATCATTTTAATGGTTTGGTTAACATTAAAAAAATTATAATTTCACGTTTTTTGAAAAGTTTTCAACTTTACAAAATATTTATCAATACTTGCAATTTAATATCTCGTGCAGACCAGCAGATAAACTGTATATACATGTTTCCTGTTCCATATATTTAGTTGTCCTGTTTGATTTCAAAGTCAATGCATTAATTTGTTGTTTTTTCCTATTTTCCTGTCAGGTTTTGTCTTTTATATCTGCCGTAGAAAGATTATATTATTTTTGTGGGGGG